CATTGTTGTGTGTGGTAAAATATTGTTAACTGCTTGCTTTTATACATTCTTAGATAACTTAACTAGAAATTCAGATGTTTGAAATTATAACAGTTCTGTGGGATTGTTACTTGAGTAGCATTCATTTTAGCCAAATAGAATGAGGTTTACCCTCTTCATTGGGCTTTGTCTAAATTCTGTTCAGTTGTCATCTCAGAGGGTAGGAACAGGTATCTTCTCATGCCATTGTCCTCAGTTTTACAGGTTACATACTTGGAATCTTTAGTTTTCTTTTTTTAGTTTAATTTAGGTTATGGATAATGTTTGCTTCTCTGAATGGTTTAGTTTCAGTTATTTTGATTTGATCACATCTGAGTGTTAGGCTTCTGGGAACTTAGTTGATACAGTCTTCTGACATGTGACATTGAACTCCTCTGTGTTTAATCTCAGTGAGGGAGAATCTTTGCCAAAGGAGTGGTTATTTTCTCTCTCAAATGGTATTTCTCTTGAGTCATGGGTCTCACCAGATGTGTAGAAGAACACTGAGGGTCTGGGCAGCGGAGAGTTTATAAGATTATTCCCTGTGTTTAAATATTTCTGTACTAGTGGAGATTCATTGTCGGGATACTGTATGTGTTTTGCAGCAACTGAAACTTCTTTCCTCCTTTTCCATGTTTCTACTATTGTCATTCCAAAGTGGCATTCGCTTATAGATGAGGGTTTGATGCTAGAAATTCCTTTTATATAGCATTGAGAAATGAAGCAGGTTTCTCCCCTCTGTGTTAGGTTGGCTAATGGGAAGGTGTGGTACTGTGAGCCTTTGTGGCAGTTGAGAGGGAAGAGCCTTTGTGACAGACCATTGAGTTTACCAGCCTTGGGGGCAACCTTGGCAGCTTTTTAGCCTTCCTCATATAAAGGTGGTGGGTAGTATGGGGTGTTTGATTAATCATATCTTCCTTAGTTTGGTGTTATTCAGGCCAAACCCGACCAACTTTGGTGGCGTATCATTCATGGTTTGTTCCTTGATGACTGCTGTAAAATGAATTTTCATGATCAAGTTCCCATTTTTAAAGCTGAAAGACTCATGAAAAGGTACATAAACAAAATTATTGTGAAGATTAATGGATGCTTGTTTGTTTAGCTCTAAGGCACTGGTCATAACTTGACAGGAGTACTGTACTGTACTGTACTGTACTGTACTGTACTGTACTGTACTGTACCTGTATAATTGTAATATATATCTTGTCAGTATAGGCTTATTTTACTTCACATTAGAGGTAAGTAGTTTTTGTTGTTATCTAATATTTTTATGAGATGAAGTGTATGAGTTTTTCTTTTCTTTTCTTTCTTTTTGTACATGCACATTGTTTGCATCACTTACTTGATTTTAATTTACTTAAGGTGATAAGGAATAAATGAATTTACAATACTGTTTACTGAAGTTGGTATATTAACAAGTGTCAATCCTTTAATTTTGTTTTTTTAATATTTTACTTTGATATACTGTAGAATATGAATATTTCAAGTTATTATGTAAAAAATTTAATTGTTGTGTAAATTGGACAACAAAGTTAATCACTAACCAGGCTGTAGATATACTGTAGGTGTTGCATGGTCTTGAAAGATAAAAATTTATTGTGAAAATTTCTGAGAAGTTCTGATAGAAATGTTATTTAATTTAAGCCAGTGTAAGGGATCATTGTTTTACTAATCCTTGTTTAGTATTTTGGTTTACCTAAGGTTTTTCTTCATGATATTGTATACTTTAGTACATTTGAATTGCAATATATGGTGAGTAGTTCATTAATACTGCACTGTAGTTGATGGCTATAGTGCAACAAACATTTGTGTGTGTGTGTGTGTAAAGATTTAATTATATACTGTATTTTTATTCATAACTCATTTTTAAAACTAATGATGGAAAAGTTTCTTGCTTTCAAATCAGTTATTCACTTAAGTTAGTTACCAGTTTCTCCCCCTTGTTCATAGAATGGAATTTATCACACCTCAGTCCATCTCATTTTTAACGACTTTTCCCGATACCTGACAGAGTCGTTGCTCAAATTGAAATTGTGAATGCAATAATATCACACATGCATAGTTTGGGTACAGAAATGAGGCAGTAAGGTGTTTCATTGGGAGGCGTTTATGCTTTTCTGACGTACAGTATACGTATCAGTTTTCACTTTTCCTTCTTTATTGCAGTTATTCCTTATAGGGTTTCACTTTTGTACTCCTGATGACAGGAAAACGACATGGTCATTTCCTGTACTGAATTTTGTGATGGACAGACAGTCAGTTCAGAACTATGGCCTTGCATCTTCTTGATAGCAGAGGAAAACACAATTGTAATTTTTTCCGTATCTTCATTGCTGAATTATTTATACAATAATACTTTTTTACTTGAAAAGGAACATCTTTTTGTGTTTTTTTCCGTGATTTCTGTATTGCTGTAAATGACTCCATACAGTCTTATTGACTTATGGAGGAATAAATCTGTCTTAAGAAAATCATTGGTGGAGTACAGAGGTATACTGTATTACATTTTCAAATCATTTTGGTAATACTGTATAATAAATGATAAAATAGAAGAGATACGTTTAGCCCTATGATTTTGTTTCTCGAAGCAATATTACCAAGGAGTGTCAGTTCTCCAAAAAATATATATACCTGTATATATTTTTATTTTTATTTTGTTTTTGCTGTTTTTTATCAAGACAAAAGCATAAAGTTTCCATATCTGGCATCAGTATTTCTTAAAAACAACGTCTGTCAGCAGAGGAAAAACATGAAAAAGAAGAGACAAATTTATATACAGTAGTTATGGATTTCTCATTTTATGCTCTAACAATTAGTTAAAACTGTATCAAATGTCAAAAATTTTAGAAAATATTACCTAATATTGGAATAAAAAATTGTCTAATATAACTCGAAAATATAATATTATTTTAATCTCATCTTAAGGTAAAATTTTGTAAAAAATACTTTTTGTCATCCTCTGATTTCAGGTAAATCAAACAAAACAGTACAATGATGACATTCGTATTTATACTGTACAGTACAGTACTCTGGTGTAAGAAAAATACTGTATTTGGAGGTAATATAGAGAGAAAAACTTAAATATCTGGATTTAAATGTTGGCAATGCTGCCACATTGCCAACTTGTAAACAAATATTAGAAACATTGTACTGTACTGTATATTATCATAATGTAGCTTTTTTTATGTATAATAAATATTGCACCATCCTGGAACTGTCTGGATGGGGAGGGGGATCTTCGGGTGATCCTTTGAGGCTAAAATTGTGATTGGTCTAGACAACATCACTGGCCAACAACTTTTGACTCTGTCATCTGCCATGCAAGCAAGGGAGTGTTGAGGAATGCTCCAGCAAAATAGTAGTTTTTTTTTATGGAAGTTGGGAGAAAAGTCAGACATCGCATTAATTATTACAGTACAATACTGCACTAGTATTCATGATTTGTTGTACTGCAGTATAAGTGTCCAAAAGGTTAAATTCAACTTGAGAAAATAAGTTGATCAGTACAGGAAGTCTAAGATTCAACTTTACTACCATATCACCAATACATTACTCTCATAATTGATAATTCTCAGATTCTTAGTTTAAATTTTTTTCTTGCTCCACGACTTGGCTTGCCTTTTCTGGTTAGATTACCCTTGATGGTTAGAAACATATTAAAAGGGGTAAAGATGACATAACAAGTCAACACTACAAGTCTTGTTTGTCTGCTTTACCTGACTTTCATATCATGAATAATTTTGCCTTGAAATACTGAAGGAATTTCTTCTAGTATTTTGACTACAGGATGTCAGGGATTATACATGAAACTTTTGCTTTGTGAGAAGGTTCACCCTTGGCAAATTTTTACTGGATTGATTTAGAACTCATTGCAATTGTCCACATTGAAATGAAACAACTTTGAAGCCTTATAATTTTTTTTTGAATAGTGCAAACAGGAATATTCATACAGCTCATAGTCAATATGCTTGAGTTTCATTTGCTGTATGGGTACATATCACGAGGGTACATTTGGGTTGACATTCAACATGTGCACCATTCATAGCATGGACTAAGTCACAATGGCACTCAATATCCCTCCACACATTTTTATTACATCATGGGGGTTATAGAGGCCACCGCTGCTTTGATCTGCTCTTTCAGCAGAACAATGTCCTACTCCTTTGTGGAGTACAATTTGGATTTCACTTAACCCCAAAGAAAAAATCGAGCAAGGTAATGTCAGGCGATTTAGGTGACCAGGAAATGTGCACGTATGTACCCAGCCAGTGATGTGACACCCGGGTATCAAGGAAGAAGTAGGCAAGACATTATCTGACTAGTGGGGAGGAGCCCCATCCTGCTGGAATATGCAGTTCGGTTGGCACCAGGGTAGGTGACTTCAGTTTGGCCATACACAATTCGTCTTTTCAATCTCAAACACACAAAAAAAAATTAAGCACATAAATTAGATATACTGTATGGTGTGGTAACTGCAAGTTTCAGCATCATCACATTTATACATAAAAATTTATTAGGCTTCAAAGTTGTTTCATTTCTCTGTGGAGGACCTGTATATTTAGCATGGCAAGGGTAACAGATTCTGTTAATAATAGATTTAGGTATCCTTATGTGATCTATATATTAAAGGTCAATGAAAGTGTTTATAAGAGTCCGATGTTCATGAGGGCAAATGTGTAGTGCTCAGGTGAAATATGTGGGGAGTTAATGACACAATCTTTCATTACTTAACAGATGGTGGCTTTAACTATATTAGTACAGTACAGTGCATGTAAGTTGTTTCTGATAGAATCCCTTACTGTTTACTGTACAGACTTAACTGTATGAAGCAAGAAATTTTTTTAAGATACACACATTAATTTAAGTTAGGTAAATGGTTGACTAAATGAATTAAGAACAGGGCAAATTGGGCAACCACTTTCAAGTACTAATACTGTATATTCAGTACAGTTTATTGAGTTACATATTTCTCCTCAATGCAGGACACCTTTGGGGAAGACACTAAGGTCAAAGCTGTTCCTGCACCATCAGTCTCCATCACGTTAGCAGCTCTAACTGCTGTCGCAAACTCTTCTGCTATAACCTCTGATTCCACTAACGGACCAAGATTAAAGGTGGAAGATCCATTTTCCAATTCCACTCTTGTTGATAGTTCGTCCAGTCCTTCCAGCGGCTTAACCACAGATGACCGATTACATATAAGTGAAAATGGTATGTTCATTCATGTCAAATTACATACAGTACTATAATTTACTTCTTTTTTCATCACTGATACTTTAAAGCTAATATTACCTAAAAAAGAGATGGCTATCCTTTCCAACATTACACTCTCCTTCATGGTAGTCAGAGGTATAGTAATATGATTTATATTATACTGTACTATATTTATTTTTTAACTTTGACTCATAATTTTTGGTCTATGGATGATCCTATTTTCATTCCCTCAAAGTTTTATATGAGTTTTTAATGTATATTTTCGTAACACAGGTGATGACAGAAGTCAGAAGAGAAGAGAAGATTCAAATAATGATAGTGACAGCTTACCGGACCTGACAATTGACACAGGATCAGTCGACTCAGTGCCATCTGTACCGTCTGAAACCAAGAATGGGAAGGGTTCTGGTAAGGTGCCCTTTATTTAACCATTATAATTCAATTTTAAACAAAACTTCAAGATATTGGAAGCATAATGTGTTGTCTAATGGTAGACCCTGCTGCCATATGGCACCACAAATTTTTTGACCAAGTCCCAGGCTGCTGATCTGACTTTCTGCCTCATTTACACACAATTGCAGGGTTTCAATTGTTTCTCTTACTTTGACAACATAACAGACATACAGTATATAATTTTTCACTTTTATTATTATTATTATTATTATTATGATTACTGTATTATTATTTTTATTTTTATTATTTTTATTATTATTATTTTTATTTTATTATTATTATTATTATTATTATTATTATTATTATTATTATTATTATTATTATTATTATTATTATTATTATTATTTTGCCCCCAGGCCCTGTTGTGGGTTATTGACCTGTGCCCTGATGTGCTAATCCTGTATTTAAAAAAAAAGTAAAAAAAAAAAAAAATAATAAATAAAATAAAAAAATTACCCAGCCACCATCTTAGCTCTTAACAGGGTTCCCTATGTTTTAGTTTCATTTTACACATCCACCTTTTCTTTCTCGTTTCAGCTTGCTTAAGCCTACCTATTTCATTCCCAATAATTGCGCATGTTTCACTGCCATACAACATCACACTTCTCATATTAGTTGCTTATATCTTAATTTTTCATTTGAAGGAAGGGCCCTCATTTCAATAATATAGGCAAATAAAGGCAGCAACTTCCTGAACTTCCTCCAGCCACTTTTGACTGTAGCAACTGAGCTAGCTTTAGCACCCTCTCCAGAGTATTGATCATATCACCCAGGCAGCCAAGCTCTCTAACAGTTTGATTTCCTCTAAGTTTTGTGACCCTGCTTTACCAGCTATTTCCACCGGGTTACCAGAGCTGTGCCTATCCCCTAGTCTCTGCTGCATTTTCTGGGCTGATGCACTTAGGCAATGTGCCATACCTGGGTTTCCAGTGGTGATTGGAGGGTTGGGAGGGGAGGGGTGGAGGGGGACATCACATTCTGGTCTTTCCCAACAACTGCCATCGGGTAATCAAGGATAACCCACGTGAGCTTGGAAAATGGCCTTAAACTGTTGATGATGATGTTAGAATTTCTCCATCCTTGCTAAGACCACATTGATTACCAATGCATATAGAACACTTAAAGTCTGCAACATTCTGCAATCTGCCATGAACACAATTGTACCGTTTGTGTACCCATCTTCAACGCTTATTCTACATTATTGAGTTGCTGCCAACACTTTCTTAAGACAGCACATGGCCATTTTCCACTTCTCATCACGAGTCCTTCACCTATGCCAATAATCAGATTTTTTTCCCACATTCATTTTCAAGCCCTTTGACTATTTCATCCTTCCATTTCTTAAATGTCTCCATTGCCTCTTCAATACTATCTGCTCATTGAACTAAGTTGTCAGGATACAACTACTCCCAGGGCAAACCAGTCCTAAAGTCCCGTGATAGTGCCTCTGATACAGTACCTTGATAAAAAGGAGGAGATTCAAGATAAATTCTTGGTAAACTCCTATTTACAATTTTGAAACGACCAAAACTTTCATCTTTACAGCATTAACTCTAAACCATATTTTTCACCCTTTTCCACTAATCTGTTAACAAGTTTTTGTAATGCTTCATCTGCAAAGCGTATAATTATTATATTTTACTTTACCATTAACTCTTAGTCCTTCATTATCACTTATAACTTCTCTTATCAAGAATTCTTAAAATATATTATACAATGTCGGAGATAGAACACAGCCCTGTCTTACTCCCTGTTTAACTGTGAACCCATTGGTAGGTTCATTATTTACTAACACTGCAGCCTTCAGTTACTAATAAAGGGTCTTTAAAATTCTAATAATATCCTTCATTAATGACTATTTTTTCCAATATCTCTATAAGTTTATTGTGCTTTACCTTATGAAAATCTTTTTCAAAATTAACAAAGCTGACACAAATTTCTTTGTGCCTCTAAAGCAAATATAATTAATCTAGTTCTTTTCCCTTTCTAAATCCATTTTGCTGTTCAGATAACTCACCCTCGAGTCTAAATTTTTTTCTACTCAAAATTATGTTTAATAAAACTTTGCAGACAGGACTTATTAAACTTATTGTTCCAAACTGGGTGCACTCTATGGCTCCTGGCCTTTTAGATAATAATACAATGGTTGATTTTTTTTAAATCACTGGGGAAGGTCACTTGAATTACGTTATAGAATTACTGTACATATTTTAGTAAAAAAAATTAGCCCATTCTTGCCCATTTGTTTTATAAATTCTGCTGGAAGCTGATTAACCTCACAAGCATTATTTTTCATTTTGCTCACATTTGCCTCAACTTATGTTTCCAGAATTGGCATTTTGATCTGTATTTCCTTTTCATTTCTTACATGAACCCAAAGCTCATTTTTTTAAGATCTACTTGCTTCCTCTGCAATATTTTTACCACTCTTTCTACAGCTTTCATAACCTGATCTGATAGCTTTAGGCCCCTGTAGTTCCCACCTTTACCCTTGTAAATGCTCATGATCACTCTTCTGCCAGTCAGCTGGAACATACATTTAATCATAATTGCATTAAACACTTTGGTCACCATCGACATGCTCACATTGTCTGATGCTTTCAGCATTTCTGTAACTCATCCACAGCTTCTAGTGCTTTACATTCTTCATTTTGTCAATTACTTTCTTCATCCATTTCTTTGAATTCTTGGGTATGGTTCCTACACTGGCTCTGCTGCTCTTTGGTTGCCTCTCTCCCATTCGTTCTCCTTATTCAGCAGTCGATCATAGTAGTTTTCCAAACAACCTTAATTCCCTCAATATCAACAACCCAATGAACTTGGTCATTTCAGAGGTACCATAATGTGTTGAAATACAATTATCTGAAAAATGTGCCTAAACTGACAAGATGTGTCAAAATGGTGCAGTCATGTGTCAAAGTGAGAACATCATGTGTGATGACAGAATGTGAAAAAAAAATTTCTATAACTATTGTGTTCTTGATTAAATTGTTATAAACTTCTTTCAATATTAAGTTTTTGTGTTTTAACTTTGCTGATTTGCATTTTGTATACTAGGTACAGGTACAGTATTTAGTTTTAGTCTACCTTTCGAATTCACCTCCTCCATTTTTCTAAGCGCTGCCAGCATTGCCATGCATTCATAATTTTGTGCACTAATGTAGTATGAGTGTGTGGTGCACAAAATAAGTGCTGTGCTTTCCCGAAATATGATGAAATATTATGGTTTTTAAGAGATAAAAAACTGGCATATGTTTTGATGACAAACTAAACATTTTCACAGATGTGATGTTACATGATGGCTCAAAATAAAAGAATTATGGATTCAGTGACACATGGACAAGGCAGTAATGATGATTTAACCTGAGAAGTGCAGCACACATCTATGAAATCTGAACGTGCAAGTGCGGCACATATCTATAGAACAGATGCATTTAAAAACTCGTGCGTGGGCTAAGTGTGGTAACTAGTATTACTGTGTAGGGTTCCCCAGGCCTTCTACCCTCCCTCTCAATCACTCAGTGATCATATGGGGGATTATGGTGTGGTATCTCAGTACGGTACCCACATAGGCTGGACGTAGGTCACACTTGGCGAGTGGGGAGGCCCAACCCTCCGCCTCCGGTGTTACTAGTGTTGGTAGGAGGAAAGTTTGTATAAAGAAAAAAGTGCCTGCAAAGTGTAAACTTAAGCAAATAGCTAATAGGAGTGATGAAGATGGTAAAACAGAAGTACAAAATGTTAGAGGCAAGCAGGGTGTGGGTGTGCTTGGGAGGAGGAAGAAGCCTGTGCAGTTAGTTGCTCCCTCTCCTGCAACCTCACATGCCCCACCCTGGAAAAAGAAAAACTAAAGCCTCTATCCCCTTTCCATATTTGTTCCCATGGCCATGGAAACTAATTCGGAGCTGTTATCTCTGTCAGAAGACCCTACACGGAATGTAGAGTGTGCAGGTGAGGAGAGAGGTGTCAGTGATGGAAGTTTCCATGATCTATCAAGTGAAGGGGAGGAGGAAGAACAGCCATGTGATGCAACACTCGCATCCTTTGTGTGAAGTGATGGTTATCTGAAAATTTGCTAACTACTAAAACACTACTAGACAGAAACATAGTTCACACATCTCCTCCTCCCCTAAAAGTGATGCCTCCACCACCTCCTTCCCCTCCCATGCTGTTTACATCCTCCACCACATGCCGCCTCATCAGTGAATATCCTTGTGTTCTAAGCCAATGTAACTAGAGGATTCATATATTGGTTGTAGATGTAATACATTACAATTTGTATTTTTTCTCTATAAGGTTAATTTTATGATTTTGGGAAAAAAATTACAAATTTTTTGCCGCTCATGGGGTGGGCCAGGAAACCGACTCCTGCAGTTTTCTGGTTAATTAGTTTGTGGTGTATAAAATCATCCACTTATGTAAATGCAGGATATTGCTAAATTTGTAATGAAAATGTAAAATTAAGGTGTAATGCATTGGTTCATCATTCAAAGAAGCTTTCTCACATTGCAAATGTGAAGAAATGCTGTGATAAAAATAGACATATAAAACAACTCCAGCCTCCCCAAACAAGCATTGTTTAGATCTTCAGTGATACATCATCATCTAAGCCTACACTGTCATTTCCAGATCATGTGACTGCTGCTGAAGTTATTCGGCTGCTGCTGCATTGAATTGTAAGCGCTTATTTCCGAGAATTAGTTGAAAATTAAATTAAAAACTTTTCTTTAGCATATACAGTCAACCCTCACTTTACGCGGTTAATTCAACCCACAGGGTACGGCGGAAAGTGAACAACATAACATATGAGATTAATTGAAATAGAGACCGGGCCGACCCCCAAACTCCACTTTTTGACGACACACAACTATGTTGTAGTAAAAATATTATCTTAACTTTATGATGGTATGCACACACAATTAATAATTAAGAGAAATATTAATAATATTAGGTTT